TCGCTTTTTAGTACAATCGGTACTTCTCACACATTCTTACTACAAAATATTAGAAAATCACTGCAATTTGTAGATGTCCGAGTTGTCTTGCTTGAAATAATGTAGTTGAGTACTGACTTTTTCAGTTGTAACAAAGTAGCACTGTTGAAATGAATCAAAGTAACATTTATTATAAAATCTGCTATTAGTCTAAAAAAACTGATATTGAGTACCCGATTCAAAGGCTCTAGAGAAGGGCGTAATACGGTAGGGCGCGCGCGTCTCTAAATCATGCTATTTCTCACAATTTTCAATCTCGAAATGATACTAAATGGCGACTTTTCCAGTATTATCACACCTAAATGCAACGAAAAAACAGTAAAAGAGCCAATTGATTAAAATACATATCTCTAAAGAAATTGATGATACTACACGTAACTGGAGCATACGAATGTAAGATTTGATGATATGATTGAATGGAGATCGTCAAGAAGAAAATATACCTAGTTGCTAGCCAATTCGTTGACTAAAACTTGTCGCTTTGATGTAAAATTGTACTGGTGTACATCTTCTCGAAGAATCTATTTCGAGAAGTGAGTGAATGATTTCACCTATTTCTTCGTTTGTTGTTTCCGGCAGGGCTGGGGGGTCGTATGCGTCATAGTTAGCGCCAGCTGTGTAGAGGAATAGTTTACACAAGCAGCACTCATCAAATGGTATCTGAAATGAACTTTGTTCCATTATTTGCGAAGTTATTTTTAATTTAAGTCGTCTTGCTTGACTCTTGCCGTTTCCGAGAGCACGTTTTCATTAACAGAAAGGACTTTAGCGTAAATTTCCAATTCTAGTTTTGCATTTGAGATTAAAAATGGTGAACTAGTGCAAAAATACATGATAGAAGAGTTGGCCTTGAAATTGAAGTTGTTACAAATCAAATTTCATAATCCTAGGTCACCCCCTACGTTTGAAAATAGCGGAAAAAATGCGTATTTTATCTTCTTTTCTGGTTATTAGAATTCATTAAGCTTCCAATATTGTCCCTGCTGTTCCACTGCTAATCTTGAGCCCATTTGAGTTTTCTATTTAGATTTAGTTGAAGAAAATTAAGTGGACATTTGAGGCAAATTTGCCTCGTCTTGCTTAAAAAACCTCGAAAGGCTAACCTCTCCAGTGACACACTGGTATAAAAGGCATCCTATGCTCCACATATCAACTTTCGAATCGTATTGGCAGGTTTTTAGAAGATTAGCTCCTACTTCTGGAGCCATGTAAAATAAGGTCCCAGCAACGTTGCAGAGGTCAGATTCTTCCGTGTCTAGAGTCCTGGCGATACCTGTACGAGATTTTTTCGCATTTTCCGTAAAATCACTGTACTTTCATATCTACACATACCGAAATCTGTGATTTTTGCTGAGGAAAGCTGTTTGCTTTTCCCTACGTATTTTATGAGAATATTTTGTGGTTTGATGTCGCGATGGACAATCTTCAAATCGAACAGATCTTTATAACCGCGAGCAATGTTGTCGATTAGAAGCCTGAACAAAGAGATTTACTTCAGATCCAAATCCAGTTTTTCTTGAAATCTTCTCTAACCTTAAGTTTGCGTTATTAAGGCGTCCATCATTAGAATTGTTCTTGATGTGGTATTCAAGGTCACCATCGCAGAGTTCCATAATAAGGCAGCAGGTTAAATCATCTAACACAC